CCTTTCCCTTCCAAAGGTTTTAACTTTATTTAAAAAAAAAGTATAATATTGTCATCTTTATTATTGTCTTTTTTTCTTTTTACTTCCATGTTCCATAGTACACTGGCTTTGCCTGTGTCCTCTAGTATTAACTTCATCATCCAGTGTTCCTGAGTGTATCTCTATTTAAACTACCTCAGTTTGTTTTAGTGTAACTTTAGTATTCAACTATAGTGTACTTATAATAGTATAGTAAGCAAGCTTTTCATCTTATAGATTTCATAATTGTTTTTTTTACTTTTTTGGTCATCTATTGTTATTACTTATTCTAGTTAATTTTTTACATTCCTAGTTCCCATTAAGTTTTTTTTTTTCTTTTTACTTAAAATTACCATTAAGTTTATTTTACTTTAGAATTTTTAATCTACTTTTTTCTTTGTTTTCTATTTTGTAATTTGCCATTCTTGCCTTGTTTTCCTGCAAACAGCCTTTTTATGCAGACAAGTATAGACCCAGAACTAAACCTCTTATCCACTATCTATGACAATCATCACTTCAATGATCAAAATTGCAGATATTTTACAGCACATGATGTAAACAATGTATTAACAGATAATCACAATATCTCTGTAATCAACTTGAACGTTAGATCCCTAGGTAAACACTTCGATGATGTTAGTGCCTTGATTGAAACTATTGACAACAAATTCTCTTTTATTATACTTACTGAAACGTGGTTGAAAGAGGATAATACTCAACTCTTTAACATGCCTAACTACTCGGCAATTCACAACTGTCGTCAAATGCAGAGGTGGTGGTACTGCTCTTTACTACCACCAAGAACTAACATGCTTAAAAATAATTAGAACTAGAGACTGCTGTGGGGAGTATATCTTCGCCAGTTTCAGAGTCAAGGGTGCCGAGTCTGTCCTGTCTGTGGGTGCAGTCTATAGAATTCCTAACACTGATGTGTCTGAATTCAACTCAAACCTTAGAAATCTAATACTAGATAACAGATTGAACAAAAACCATCTAATTATCGCAGGGGACTTTAATATTGACCTCTGCGAGCCTGAACACCCTACTGCTGTTAGCTTCCTCAACTGTATGAATTCCTGCTTCCTCATACCCTTAATCACTAGACCAACTAGAATCACTGATAGTACTGCTACGACTCTAGATCACATCTGGACCAACATAACCTCTCCGCTTACTTCAGGTATAATCACCGATAGCACTACAGACCATTACCCCACATTTCTCTTAACTAACATTAGCAAACCACCTCTAGAGACAAGGGAGTTAAGCTTTAGGCTGCACAATGAAACTGCTATAAACAATTTTATAACTGCTGCTGATAATGTCAACTGGGAGTCCGAGTTAGGTAACTTAGGGGACATCAACCTAGCAGTGCAATCTTTTCTACAAACAACTCTTAGCCTTTATAACACCCACTGTCCTATGCTTACAAAACAAGTCACAAGCAAAAGGCTTAACAATCCTTGGCTTACAAAGGGAATACTTAAATCCATTAACAAAAAACACGACCTTGAGAAGAAGTATAGGCTAGGAACAGTCTCCAAAGAATTCTCAAAGAATTACTCGTTATTGCTATCTACAATAATTAGACGAGCCAAAACTAAATACTATGAAGATAAATTTACCCAAATAAAGAGCAACATTAAAAAAACTTGGAGCACAATTTCACAAATATTGAGATCAAAGAAGATTTTAAATAACAAACCAACACTCCTTTCCAATAACGTTGGTCAGCTTTCAGCCTCTGATTCTGCTATTGAGTTCAATAGGTTCTTCTCTTCCATTGGGTCATCCCTTGCAAATGATATTCCATCTTCCTGTACTGATGTTAAGGACTATCTTACAGGTAACTATCCACAGTCTCTGTACCTAAAGCCTACTAGTTCCACTGATGTCAATGAAATAATCCTTTCCCTTAAAACCAAGTCTAGTGCCCTCGAGGAGATACCAACTTTAATTTACAAAAAAGCCTCCAGATCTCTAGCCCCTGCTATTGCATTGCTCTTCAACAAGTCACTTGAACTCCAAACCTTTCCTGACATTCTAAAAAAGCAAGAGTAACCCCTGTCCACAAATGTGGTGATCTCACAGATGTTAACAACTACAGACCTATATCAATCCTGCCTAACTTGTAAAAAATATTCGAAAAGCTAATCTACAAGCAGCTTTACTCTTTTCTAGCCAAACACAATATACTTAGCTCTTGTCAATATGGCTTCAGACCCAAAAAAAGCACTAACGATGCACTTATTAGTATGATTAACTTAATTCACGCAGCTCTTGATAAAAAGGAGTTTCCTGTTGGGTTATTTGTGGACCTGCGTAAGGCTTTTGACACTGTCAACCATCAAAACCTTCTTCTTAAATTACATCATTATGGAGTCAGAGGACACTCCCTGCAATATCTCAAATCTTATCTTACTGACAGGCTCCAGTATGTTTCTGTGAATAATACAATTTCTCCCACCCTACCCATCAACATTGGTGTTCCTCAGGGCAGCATACTTGGCCCTCTCCTCTTTCTCATCTACATTAATGACCTTCCAAATGCCTCCCAACACCTCAAACCAATTCTATTTGCTGACGACACAACCTTCATTTACTCCAGTCCTGACCCCCTTGCTCTAAATGCCACAGTAAATACTGAGCTAGAGAAAGTCCATCTTTGGCTAACTGCCAACAAACTCACCCTTAACATTGACAAAACGTTTAATATTCTGTTTGGCAATAAATCCTCTAATCAGATAAATCTCAAAATAAACAATACCCAAATTTGTAACAAATTAGACGGCAAATTCCTTGGCGTTCTCATCGACCACAAGCTGAATTTCCAGGGACACATTCTAAATATATCAAAAAAAGTTTCAAAAACTGTTGGCATTCTTTCTAAGATCAGATATTATGTACCCCGCCCTGCCCTGGTTACTCTCTATTACTCCCTCATCTATCCATACCTCAACTATGGTATTTGTGCTTGGGGTTCTACTTCCCAAAATCATTTACGTCCTCTAATTACCCAACACAAAGCTGCTATTAGGACAATATCCAACTCTGGCCCCAGACATCACTCGGTACCCTTACTCAAATCTCTGAATATGTTAGATATTAAGTCACTGCACATTCTCTCTTGTGTATTATACATATATAAAACGCTGAACTGTAATGCCATTCCTGACCTCAAAAGCTTCATTGAAGGTTGTAACAGAACCCATGAGCACCACACCAGAAATAAATACAGTTTTGATAGTCCTAGAGTACGACTTAATCAAACTAGAAATGCTCTACAAATCAAGGGACCCAGAATGTGGAATGACCTTCCCAACCATGTTAAAGACTGTACCTCTCTCAACCAGTTTAAGATAAAAACTAAACACTACCTAATAAATTCCCTGTAACCTACCTCACTCCTCTATTGTCAACCCATGTCTGTTATTTCTTTTTAATCAACACTGTTTGTCAACCTATTGTATTTGTGCTGCTTTTTCAGTCATGTTCCCCCCTTTTTTTTCTTATCTTTATTTGTATTTGTTCTCAACACTTTTTATTCTTTATGCTCAAGTAGTATTAAGTTCTAGATATTAATGTTTTTCCTGCCCGAAACGCATTGCGTAATAGTGGCTTTAGGCATTGTATGTACTAGCTCTATCTATATATCAATCCATTAATGTAACATCACTTGTATGTATGTACATCCACCTTCACGCAATTTTTAATAGACATCAGATATAAGAGAATAGAAATTGGGAGGTGGTACAACATTTCATAATATCTCTTCTAGTCTCACAGACAGATTTACAGAACAATAAGGTAGATTTTGGGTCGGCTAGTGTAAGTAGTTATGTGAAGAATGGTAATTGGAATAAAATCTAAAGACAAAGATTGCAGTTCATAAGCATACTTTAGAGTGAAAAGGTATGTGTTATATGGGCACCATAGCTTATAGAGCGGAAACATGCATCATGAGTATTCGTGACAGATATAGGGTAATCAGTCAAGAATCCAAAACAATGAAAGGTAGAGGTCATGTTCGGGAAGTATTTGCCAGCAATTTTCATAGATCTTTTGCTAAGCACAGAATGCAAACGAATGGCAATAAAAATCCCTCGAAAGTCAAAAGGCCACTTGGGAACAACCTACAACTAACAATCTACGGAAATGACCAAGTATGTGGAAAGAATGTGTAGATGGTAAGGCCAAAAAACTCTACAAATATCTACATGTGAGACAAACCAAACCTCCAAGAGTGGAAAAACAATCAAGGTTTCCCCTCTCTGGTTACCCTCTCAGAAGAACTTCTCTCACAGACGCAGGACTAGAAATGGAGCCATCAGTCGCTCTAAAACCATTGAACCAGATAAAAGGAAGCGCGTGAGCTCACGGGAAACCCCGAAACCTTAGAAAGCCTAATGCTAAACAACATACATTGGGATATGAAGAAGACAATATTAACCGCAGGAAGTCATGGACGTAGCAACACAGTAGGCATATTCCAAGGGTATTCGAAGAGAAAGTAGGCTCTGCAACCACCATTAAAATCCCGTAGGGAAGCTGCCATAAAGTCTCCACCAGCAACAGCAGACCAGAAAGCGGTCGTGGCTACCAAAAACCAAGGGTGATAGCCAAGAAGCTGTCTATCTAATGGCCATGGCAGAAGTTTGAAGTTTGTTGCACCCCACCTTTGGTAAATATGTACTGTACATGAATTCAATGTTAGATATGTTATTCCATATTGACAGAACACCGAAGAAATGGTAGCAGCACCAACACTCAAAGACATAAACTGCAATTGCTGGGAAAGATTGCGAGGTCGCCGCCAGAGGCACCTGTTAGGCCACGGCCAGTGCCAGCAAATAACACAGGCCATAGAGTGGAATAACCCCGCAGCTACCAAAGTGAATGATGGGGGGCAAAAGGAATGACCTTCAGTTATTCAGTGACCTTATGAATGATTGATTTTTAACATTAGGGTTTTAATTCAACCATTTGTCAAATAATCCATTTATTATAGAAAAGAAATATCACAGACTATATTTTGTGAGTATTACACTGCTGTATTGTTTGCCAATTTTATAAATAAGCATGAAGTACTGTATGAGCAGGCATATTTATTACAGTGGTTATGCTTATAACTTGCTCACTTTCCACTGTATCCTCCTGCGCTCTGCTGCTGCTCCTGTTGATGTTCCTTGTTAATGATGCCATTCACCCACTCACGGAAGTGTTGGACATCAACATACACGCCAGGCACGTCTTTCTGACCACAGCCAATGCCCCAGGCGGTGATGCCAGTGAGGACATAATCGCCTGTGGTGGGATCCTGGCAGGCCAGAGGTCCGCCACCATCACCTTCGCACGCGTCCTTGTTCTCTTCACCTCCAGCACACATGAACGATTTGTCCAGGATGAAGAACTTGCCCAGACGAGTTTTTCGTAGTAGATTCTGACAATCGTTACGGTCCACTACTGGTACTTCGACCTTCTTCAAGATCACTTGATATTGACCGCCATCGAAAGCATCCTTACCCCAACCCGTAGCAAAGCATCGAGTTCCCTTAGGAATTATTTGTCCATGATTTGGAAGACAAATTGTGTTGATATGATACTTGAATACTATGGGCTCACTTAACTCTATCACAGCGATGTCATTGTGGACGTTTTTGGGATTAAATAGTGGGTGTATTGTAATAGATGCCACATTTGCGTCGTAGTACTGCAGAGGTTCTTTATAGTCGTCGACCTGCCACTCACCGAGCCGTACACGGAGGTCTTGTGGAGTGAATCCTTTAACACAATGAGCTGCGGTCAGCAGCCAGCGGTCACCGATTAGGGAAGCACCGCACTTGAAGGTGTAGTTAGTGAAAAAGACAATTCCCTGCCAAGGGAACTCGCCGAAGTGGGTCTGATAGTAAAGGAGGTCAACATTTTTTATGCGAGTATCAAGAAGCTCATTGCGGACACCACACTTTCCTGCAGCCACGTAGGTTTCATCAACCGGTGGTAGTTTTGGGTTCTGGCAACAGCTTCCGGGAGATACAAGACCAGTACCGCTTAAGCGACACTGTGCCCATTTGCCGCTGCTAGAGTAGGGGAGGAAGGCACCAGTGTTATCGAGAAGCTCTCCTTGGCAGAGGATCTCCGGCAGACATACAGAGTTCTCGGGACAGCTGTCGAGGATGGGCTCACTTGGCTTCGGGGGAGGGTAGCAGCACGCGCCCACTATGTTGGGGTTGACGTAACATGCCTGGTGATGTAACACATATTTATTCATCTAATACTTGTTTTCATACATGCTAACATTAAGAGTTTAAGATCTCGAATTAAACGTCTTGTATAAAAAACGCAATCCAATTTTATATTGCAAATTTTTGGGGAATTTACTTTTATATTTACTTTGTGCATGTTTTCATAGATTAACAAAATTCTTGAAAATAAATAATTGGGCCATTTATGTGCATGACTTATTGTAAGGATACAAGTGTATTGCTTAATAATTTAATGAAGACTATAATCCATTAATATTCAACGGAAGTTGGGTATTAATGAATTATAGTCTTGACAGTCTTGACATTATAGTCTTGACATTGTCAGTGGGGGTAGGACAAGAGGTGTAGGATATTGGCAACAGGGGTTGGACATTGATAAGAGGTGTTGGATATTGACAACAGGGGTTGGACATTGATAAGAGGTGTAGGATATTGGCAACAGGAGTTGGACATTGATAAGAGGTGTAGGATATTGGCAAGAGGGCTTGGACATTGATAAGAGGTGTAGGATATTGACAACAGGGGTTGGACATTGATAAGAGGTGTAGGATATTGGCAACAGGGGTTGGACATTGATAAGAGGTGTAGGATATTGGCAACAGGGGTTGGACATTGATAAGAGGTGTAGGATATTGACAACAGGGGTTGGACATTGATAAGAGGTGTAGGATATTGGCAACAGGGGTTGGACATTGACAAGAGGCGTTGGATATTGGCAACAGGGGTTGGACATTGATAAGAGGTGTAGGATATTGACAACAGGGGTTGGACATTGATAAGAGGTGTAGGATATTGACAACAGGGGTTGGACATTGACAAGAGGCGTTGGATATTGACAACAGGGGTTGGACATTGACAAGAGGTGTTGGATATTGGCAAAAAGCACAGCGAGAAAGTGAAGAGCGCAAATAACAATGGGAGAGCGTGGCTGGCGCCCCAAGCTTGGCTGGGCAGTGAGCACTCACCGAGTTGGAAGGAGGAGATTTAGTGCCATCAGAGTAGCAGAGGTCAGACACGAGGCAGGTCTCTCCTCCCGGGCACGTCTTGAGGGGTGCTGGAGGCGTGCAACACTGGCCTACCTCCCCGGCACCGCCAGACACATAGCACGTCTGTTACACGGAATACTTTCATTAGATCTAGGTGCTCACACGCGTAAACTTCTCAATACGTAAGTAGTCCAGACGCGGTAACAAGGTACAGTAGAGTAATTACCTGGTATTCACCAAGGGGGTCGACGGTAATTTTTCCGCCGCAGGAGCCCGTCGCCACACACTTTTGTGTTCCGTCTAGCGAGCATTTCTCCAGCGGTGGGAGAGGGTCGCAGCACACACCTACCACAGTTCCCTTGCTCACGAAACAAGGCTATTGGAATGGAAAGTGGAAAATTAATTACTAACCATATTTTGCTAACCCTGCACGATCTTATACAAAAAATTATTTTCACATTTTAATGATTATTCCTTCCTCTCTAACCGACTGATTAAAAACTTAACAATCTGTAAATGCCTTTTTACTTTCCATGGAATAACTGAGATCTAGCAGTAGATTTAGTAAATACACCTAAGAAAGATAGTGTTATCTTGAGTTTATCTTGAGATGATTTCGGGACTTAGCGTCCCCGCGGCCCGGTCCTCGACCGGACCTCCTTTTTGTTACACACCCCCAGAAAGCAACCCGTAGCAGCTGTCTAACTCCCAGGTACCAATTTACTGCTAGGTAACAGGGGCATCAGGGTGAAAAAAACATTTTGTCTATTTGTCTCCGTCTCCACCGGGGATCGAACCCGGAGCCTCAGGACTATGAATCCGAAGCGCTGTCCACCCAGCGGCCAGGCGCACATCAATGTTATTAAGTAAACATTGAAAAGCATGACTGAAAGATCTTAGCTTATGGGTAACGATGTGTATTAGTGTTACACCTGACGGCTCTATAGAAATAGGTGGAAGGTGTACCGGATGCTCATCTAATATATTTTAGCGATCTTTTGTCGCTCAAACCGTACTGGCCACTGAATACTTAAAATACAAAAGCAGTGGAATACTGTGATTCACAGAGTGCGCTCATGACACTGAATGAACAGAGTAGTAACACACAGAAAATAATCAGTGATATTCAAAGGAATGTTTTAGCATCAAGTGAAAATAGATTTCAGATATATATAATTCCTTTCGATATACAATCACTTGTTGGCATCTCAAAGCATGATACTATTAAAATGCTTGCAAAAAAAACTGTAGTAGACCAGCAGTAGAAATTTATATGGGCGTTTGGGCAAAGAGCAGTAACAAAGAGAATACTGGGATGAATACTTGATTAAAATCTTACTGAACTAACAAATTCACAAACACCTGAAAATGGTGGCAATAAACTTTATGATGAATACCGTGAGGAGACATTTATATATGGAACTATTAGAGCAAGCGAGGTTATGCCTGGTATGCCAATATGATAAAGCTAGCTGGTAGCTTTATCATAATTCGTGTGTCGAATCACAATACATCAACTTTTAACAATTCGACAAAACGAATTATTAAATTATATGTTTAAGAGATATGTAGCCTTGTCCATGGAGGGCAGAACAAATATGCTTATGGTGACCAGACCACACACTAGAAGGTGAAGGGACGACGACGTTTCGGTCCGTCCTGGACCATTATTCTCAAGTCGATTGTCGACTTTACAATGGTCCAGGATGGACCGAAACGTCGTCGTCTGGTCTGGTCAACATACTTTAGCCACGTTATTGTGACTCATCGCCTGCTTATGGTGGTAAGCAATGCGCAAATGAATGGTCACGTCTGTAGCAGAAAAAATAACAAATCTTACGGAATGGACTCTGATGTCGATGTTGCCAACGCCGTCTGTGGTGAGGGTGGTGCGGGCGGTGCACTGGGCCTGGGTGATGCACGTCTTGGGACTCGGGCACGTCTGGATTGGCTTAGGCGCCGGCGGCGTGCAACAGATTCCCGCCTCCAAGTTGGGGCCCACAAAACAATCCTGAACACATCATGAACATATTAACGCATAGTTCATAAGTTTCGTAATATATGTAGCAATTATGCTACATATATTATATGCGTGTTATGACAAAAATCACAGAAAATATTAAGTGACTATATGTATAATGATGCGACGTGGCCGCCCTAACCTTATATTTGCCAGCGGCGTCTTTGACAATGGTGCCGTCGCAGGCGCCTTGAGCTACGCACAAGTTGCCGGCCTTGCAGGATGGGTACGCACAGCACACAGCCTCCACCGTCGGGTAGTTGGGGTTAACGCACTGTTGACATATATGGCAGATGATATGAGACTAGTGTCCATTAAATCAAAGGTTAATAAGTATAGATAATAATATTTGTATATATAAAACAGAAAGAAAACGCAGTCATGGTTCTCAAACACTCACCTTATTACCGAAGCGGAGGTCGAGGAGGCCTTCTCCGGAGGTGTTGATTTTACCGTCATGGCAGAGATAAGCTGGGACACATTCCTTCGTCTCTTCGCACTTCCCTGTTACCACAGTTTGCCCCCCACCTTGTTGTTGCTGAACATCTACGATAGTACCAGTGCCGCCACTGCCGTGAGCTCCCCCACCTACATCAGCAGAGCCGCCCCCTGCTAGGTGGCCACCACCACCTGCTCCCACATCTACGATAGTACCAGTGCCACCACTGCCGTGAGCTCCTCCACCTACATCAGCAGACCCACCCCCTGCTTGGTGGCCACCACCACCTGCTCCCACATCTACGATAGTACCAGTACCGCCACTGCCGTGAGCTGCTCCACCTGCAGTAGCAGAGCCACCATCTGCTCCCACATCTACGATAGTACCAGTGCCGCCACTGCCGTGAGCTGCTCCACCTGCAGTAGCAGAGCCATCTCCTGATAGGTGACCACCACCACCTGATCCCACATCTACGATAGTACCAGTACCGCCACTCCCGTGAGCTCCTCCACCTGCAGTAGCAGAGCCACCACCTGCTCCCACATCTACGGTAGTACCAGTGCCGCCACTGCCGTGAGCTGCTCCACCTGCAGTAGCAGAGCCACCCCCTGCTAGGTGGCCACCACCACCTGCTCCCACATCTACGGTAGTACCAGTACCGCCACTCCCGTGAGCTCCTCCACCTGCAGTAGCAGAGCCACCACCTGCTCCCACATCTACGGTAGTACCAGTGCCGCCGCTGCTGTGAGGTGCTCCACCTGCTCCCTCTACGACAGTAGCGGAACCACCTCCTTGGTAGCCACCACTACCACCTGCTCCCTCCACGACAGCAGCAGAACCACCCCCTGCTAGGCCACCTGCTCCCACCTCCACGATGGAGCCAGTGCCGCCGAAGCTGTCAGACGATCCGCCTCCCTCCGCGACGGTGGTATGTCCAGGAAGAAGGCAGCAGATCTTGCCGATGCCACCGCACAGAGTTCCAGTGTTCTGCCAAGATGAAGAAAAAGTCAGATCTTGAGGGGTAATATACGTAGCATGTTCTGAAATGAATAAATTTTATACGGAAGAAAAATATATAGCAAAGAAGACTAGCGTGTACATACCTGCTGTGGCACTGGTTCAGGCGTGCGCAGGTTCAGCAGGCCTATCCCACTTGTGTTTATCTCACCATCTACACATAACTGCCACGGCACGCACCCATAGTTCTGTAACACAAGTATAAACAAATTATTTAAAGCATACCACCAACGGTTGATTTTAGAAGTCCAGAAAATGGGTGTATATGTCAAGCCCATTTCGAGGACAGAAATATCCTAAGAACTCCAGCAAGAATGTAGGAAGAGCCATATAGCTATGGGTCATCCAAGATAGTTTAGATTTCTAGGCTTAGGCTCGCCAACAAGTACTTCTGGTAATTTACACCCCATGCTGGAGGTCTGACCAAACGTTTCCTTGTTAGCAAAACTATTATATACCTTACGTCATTATGTAATTTAATGTAAAAAAACAAGAATTTAATAGTAACTCCATCATTAATGTTCAAGATATGCTCATGCATTTTATTCGGAATAACATATTATCCAAAATTCTTGGCGCGTATGAGGCTTGCCTGAGATAGGTAATGAACAAACTGTAGGTTTCCACTGTCCCTTACTTGCTTTTCTCATGACGTTGATGCAGTAATAAATTAGACCACTATCCTTCAAACTTCGAAAATTTTAAGAAATAAAACTCGTTACTAGCACACTACAAATTTAAATGTCTTCGCCTATAGAACACCGGGTTCAGTTCTTGGACTTATCATGCGACACTTTAATATTCATAGTAGTGAAGCTAAACCTAACCAAAACTGCGAGTAGAGAGTAGACTGCTGACGTATATGTTAACCTTTGTAACATGCTCATCAGTGCCGTAACTTTTTTAAGTAACGAATATTGGTGCCCATTATATGCCTCTGAGCTTTTCCACTACCACTCACATGATGAATATGGAGGTGCACTACCACTCACACGGTGGCTATGGGGGATTATAATCAATGAACTAAACTAACTGCTGTTGCTGCTTTTGATCACCGTAAAGTTATACATGATGTACAGTGTGGACACTGACCTTGCTACAGTCCGCAACCTGCTGGAACGTGAAGTCTTCTGTCAGTGTCACTCCCTCAGCGCCCTGTAAAATACGGTAGTTACCAATTTTGCTTCAACTGTCAAGTCATCTAAATGACTAAAAATAATCGATTTTTGCAAATGATACCCTGCACCAAAACACCAAGATACATCGTGCAAATTTTACGAGAAAAAAGATAATAATCATTCTTACTTTATCAAAGACTCCTTCATCTTGCCACCAGAAACTGCCCTGTCCCACCTGCTGCTGCTGGTCAGCTATTCCTTCCTGCGCCGCCTGCTGCTTCTCGTCAGCGGCTGCTGCACCACTGCTCACCCCGGGGTACTGGGGCCAGGCTCTGACAGCCCCAATCGTCACCACCAGCAGTATGGACACCAGTACGCCACTCCTCATCTGTTGACAAAAGTTTAAATCTCGATTATACAGTTAACTTTATTTATTTATTTATTTATTTATTTATTTATATACAAGAAGGTACATTGGGTTTGTGAGAATACATAGCATAGTACAGTAATTGCACTCTTGTAAGCCACTAGTACGCGCAGCGTTTCGGGCAGGCCCTTAATCTAACAGATAGTTTTAAGTAGGTGTAGGTTTAAGTAGGTAAGGTTAAGTAGTAGGTTTAACTGTTATCATGTGGGACGGAGTGCTGAAAGATATCAATGAATTCAACCCTATATAGGACTGGGGCCTCGATAAGGCTAACAGGTTCCAGTCCCTGACAATCAGAAAGCAATTCAAGGCCATCTTACTGAACTGTGATATTCCTGGACAGAAGGCTTCTGTCCAGTATTTGTACTCTCACCACACTTAAACAGTCAAACACAGGTTTTAGTGAATGTTTTCATTGTGTGAGGTAGTCCGTCTACCGCCGCCCTCTGGATGGGTGCGCCTTCCACCGCCGCCCACTGGTTGGGTGCGCCTTCCACCGCCGCCCACTGGTTGGGTGCGCCTTCCACCGCCGCCCACTGGATAGGTGCGCCTTCCACCGCCGCCCACTGGTTGGGTGCGCCTTCCACCGCCGCCCACTGGATAGGTGCGCCTTCCACCGCCGCCCACTGGTTGGGTGCGCCTTCCACCGCCGCCCACTGGTTGGGTGCGCCTTCCACCGCCGCGCACTGGATAGGTGCGCCTTCCACAGCCGCCCACTGGGTTGGTGCACCGCCCCCCCCCCCTAATCCCAGTACAACCTGTCCTCTTACAAAGAACGTCGCATTTCTATCATATGCGTTACATAAGGCCAAAAATTGTCGTACTTGAAAATGGAAGCGGCTCGCGAAAGTGACGTACTGTTCCGTTTTCTGTTTTGTCCTCTGGTAGGTTAGGAGAGACCACTTCAAATTGACCGTTTTCTTGACGTTGGCAAACCTTAGGAGCACGGGCTGCCCACTGAATGAGCTCACGTTCCACCGCCATTCACTGAATGAGCACACCTTCCACCGCCACCCACCTGTGTCTTCCACTGAATCGGCGCTCCTTCCACCGCCGCCCACTGGGTGGGAGGCCCTTCCACTGCTGTTCACTGGGTAGGTGTGCTTTTCAAAGCCGCCCACTGAGTAGGTGAATCTTCCTCTTCCGCCCACTAGGTGGGTGAACCTTCCACCGCCACTCACAATGGGGGCTGGTGTACCTTCCTCCGCCACCCATTACGTGGGTGTATCTTCCCTCGCCGCCCACAGGTGGGTGCAGGGTGTATGATTCACACATAAACTCTTAATGTAAACTAAATGCAAATTCCTGAGCTTTAAACTAATATGGAATTCAGTTCTTGACTCTGGCCCTTGTGTCTGGTCTCCGGCCAATGACTGTGGCACTAAACTATGTAAAACTGTCAAGAGACTGTTGATGAATATTAATAAACGCTGTAAACCTTTCATCAATTCTGTAATCTTTGCAAAATGTATAATGTGGGGTTTTGTTTCTGAGGCTATTATGTGCCTCTATAAGGTTTCTACCACACCACATATCATGATGAGAAAATATATAAACTAATTTAAATAACATCAAGTTTGTATCAACATTATACTTATTTTAATACTGTATGCACGTTAGTGAATAAAACCTCGCTTTTTTACAGTACAAAATTCCCAACGTGTACACCACCTCAGCCCAGTTTCACATGAGCATTTCACTTTTATATGCTAAATGCTGCATCTCATGTTCTATGGTAACATAAATGCGTCTCGTTCACAAATACGCATCTGATGCTTGATGGTAACAGATTTAGGCGAAACACTGACAGTTAACAATATATTCAATAGTATTTACACACAAAAAAATATAATGTTTAAAAGCCCACCTTTAAGACGCGCTGCTTTGAGGAGAACTGCAAGACTGACGTGAAACAGGGCTTCTTATAGCTTGTGTTACATGGAGGAGGAGCGAGGGAGGAGCCTAGCCCAGCACCCCGGCGCCCCCACGCCTGGACCCCGGGGCTCCACCCCATCTATCCTGGATTTCCCTGGACGGTGGAGCTGGGATGTTAACGCTGCTCTGAGCCCTGTGAATGGTGAATGTCTTACCGAAGCCACACTCATCTTCACAATTTGACTTGTAATTTGAGAAGAAAAAACTATTGGCGACATGTAAAGAAATATCATATGATTTTGAAGGTTTCTGAAGGTTACAATAATACCCACAAACTGCACTTAATAATCTATGTAGGTTCCGAAGGTTGGCCTACAGCCAAGAGTTGAGACCATCCATTACCAGTACTAACGACATGAACGTCCCCTCCTTCACAAGGTTAAATACTGACGTACTTGCTTTAGTATGTCGCATTGCAGTTGGCTTCATTCGCAATTATATATATATATATATATATATATATATATATATATATATATATATATATATATATATATATATATATATATATGAGTACGTTTTCTTTCACCTAATGCCTCTATTCACCTATATATATATATATATATATATATATATATATATATATATATATATATATATATATATATATATATATATATATCACCAATACCTGAGTTACTCTTTCAAACTCTCTACTCAAGTTGCTCCATTCAGAGCAGTGGGTAAGCGCTCGACGAATATAAGCATTGAGAACACTGGCTTTGTATCTTTGGGGGCACTCACTTCTACCGTTCAGGCATAATCCTATGTTGGTGGGCTTGGTATATACGTTGGTGCTTAAAGAGGTTCCTGTTTTTGTTATTAGTACATCCAAGAATGGCAGACTGTTATTTTCACTATTTTCATGTGTAAATCGGAGTACTGACTCTCTCTCTAGGTGTCTTTTTAGGTCAATTAGTTCATCTGAGTCTTTTACTATTACGAATATGTCATCTACATAACGGCAGTATACAGTTGGTTTTTGTCTGCTACTGAAGACCCTATCTTCGATGGTTCCCATATAAAAATTAGCAAATAAAACTCCTAAGGGGGAGCCCATTGCTACTCCGTCTATCTGTAAATACATGTCTCCTTGTGGACTGATGAAAGGGGCTTCCTTTGTACATGCTTCGAGAAGACTTTTCAAGTGTGGCTCAGGTATGTCTAATTTGGGGGTGCTCTCGTCTCTGTATACTCTGTCCAGTATCATTCCTATGGTTGTGTCGACTGGGACGTTGGTAAAAAGGGATTCAACGTCCAGGGAAGCGATGATTCCATATATATATATATATATATATATGTCGTACCTAGTAGCCAGAACTCACTTCTCAGCCTACTATGCGAGGCCCGATTTGCCTAATAAGCCAAGTTTTACTGAATTAATATATTTTCTCTAATTTTTTTCTTATGAAATGATAAAGCTACCCATTTCATTATGTATGAGGTCAATTTTTTTTTATTGGAGTTAAAATTAACGTAGATATATGACCGAACCTAACCAACCCTACCTAACCTAACCTAACCTATCTTTATAGGTTAGGTTAGGTTAGGTAGCCGAAAACGTTAGGTTAGGTTAGGTTAGGTAGGTTAGGTTGTCGAAAAAACATTAATTCATGAAAACTAGGCTTATTAGGCAAATCGGGCCATGCATAGTAGGCTGAGAAGTGAGTTCTGGCTACTAGGTACGACATATATATATATATATATATATATATATGGATGGTATCACAGTGAACCCCTGGAAGAATGGCAAGCAGTTGGTATGGGACTACACGTGCGTATCAACCCTGGCTAACACCTACATTAACCTCAATGTTGCACAACCAGGTGGCGCTGCCACCCACAGGGAAGCAGCCAAATCCCGTAAGTATAGAGAACTGGATCACCACTACAATTTTGTCCCCATTGCTTCTGAGACACTCGGCGCCTGTGGTAAAAGTGCTACCAGTTTTTTGAAGGAACTGGGTTCTAGGCTCATTGAAACAACAAGGGACCCAAGAGCTGCAAGCTTTCTTTTCCAGCGCCTCAGTGTGGCGATACAGAGGGGAAATGCGCACTGCATCCAGGGTTCCTGCCCGCCATCTGAGGAGCTGGAGGAACTCGACAACCTATGATAACCATCTTTGTAACCCATATGTAACTCCTTTTTTGTAACAAAGTTCAAATAAAGTAAATATATATGTGTACATACAAAAGAATGTGGGTGGTAGGAGAGGATAATATTAGTGTTCAGTGAGAAACCACAAGGTCTCCTCTGAATACTTTTTATTTTCTTCTCCGAGGCTATGGGTCCCCACATTGGCACCTATATGTGTGTATATATATATATATATATATATATATATATATATATATATATATATATATATATATATATATATATATATATATATATATATATATATATATATATATATATATATATATATATATATATATATATATATATATATATATATATATATATATATATATATATATGTCGTACCTAGTAGCCAGAACGCACTTCTCAGCCTACTATGCAAGGCCCAATTTGCCTAATAAGCCAAGTTTCATGAATTAATTGTTTTTCGACTACCTAACCTACCTAACCTAACCTAACTTTTTTGGCTACCTAACCTAACATATATATATATATATATATATATATATATATATATATATATATATATATATATATATATATATATATATATATATATATATATATATTGGTGTATACTGGCAGCAGGTTTTCTTTCAAACATGTTTCATTGAATATGACCGCATATTCTGTATTTATTATTTTCTGGTTTAGGGCTTCTATCCCTCTAACTATTTTCTTAGCATCAGGGCTTAATTGAAATAGGAGTTCTCCAAAACTCATTTTCGTACTTTTAAGGTGAAGAAAAGAAGTGATTTACTATAGAGTGTATTACACTTATTTGTATAATTTGCACGACGTTTCGAACCTCCATGGTTCATTCTCAAGTGAACAGATCTTACAATACTAGTTGATTTTATACCCGCATTAGGTCAGGTGATAATACAATGAAGGTGAAAACATGGGGGGATACATAAGGGATAAACATAGGGGCTGCAGAAGGCTTATTGGCCCATACGAGGCATCTCCTATCTAAACACAAAGATTAATCCAGTGTAATTGGCCTGTTATGTTGGACATTGTCTTCTGTGTTGGCATCGATATGTTCTTGTCTTGTCCTTACTCTCATGGTGGGTAGAGTAAATAGTTCCGTGATTTGGGTGTTCATGGTAGGTCGCTCTATTCTTATGTGAATTGCCTCAAGAATTTGTAATCTTCTTGAATCTTGGGTTTTGTCTATTATGCAAGTATTCTTGTTCAACATTTCTCTTGTTAGAGTAATGTCATGGGCTTGTCTATATATATATGTATTATATATATATGACAATGTAGATACGGATATATATATGAAATAGGAAATATATACTTTATATATTAAATACATATATATAAGGTCCAACCTTCTGAATCACGAAAATATACGAAAGTACTTAAGGAAATTTCCTGTTTCATTTTTCCTCCGTGGTCTGACATTGTCATATTATTAATCCGTGTCTATATATTGTATATATATATATATATATATATATATATATATATATATATATATATATATATATATATATATATATATATATATATATATATATAAAAAGTTTGTGAGGGTACCACCTCTGGTGCCAATGTGGGGACCCATAGCCTCGGAGAAGAAAATAAAAAGTATTCAGAGGAGACCTTGTGGTTTCTCACTGAACACCAATATTATCTTCTCCTACCACCCCCATTCTTTTGTATGTACACATATATATTTACTTTATTTGAACTTTGTTACAAAAAAGGAGTTACATATGGGTTACAAAGATGGTTGTCATAGGTTGTCGAGTTCCTCCAGCTCCTCAGATGGCGGGCAGGAACCCTGGATGCAGTGCGCATTTCCCCTCTGTATCGCCACACTGAGGCGCTGGAAAAGAAAGCTTGCAGCTCTCGGGTCCCTTGTTGTTTCAATGAGCCTAGAACCCAGTTCCTTCAAAAAACTGGTAGCACTTTTACCCCAGGCGCCGAGCGTCTCAGAAGCAATGGGGACAAAATTGTAGTGGTGATCCAGTTCTCTATACTTACGGGATTTGGCTGCTTCCCTGTGGGTGGCAGCGCCACCTGGTTGTGCAACACTGAGGTTAATGTAGGTGTTAGCCAGGGTTGATACGCACGTGTAGTCCCATACCAACTGCTTGCCATTCTTCCAGTATATATATATATATATATATATATATATATATATATATATATATATATATATATATATATATATATATATATAATATATATATATATATATATATATATATATATATGTCGTACCTAGTAGCCAGAACTCACTTCTCAGCCTACTATTCAAGGCCCGATTTGCCTAATAAGCCAAGTTTTCCTGAATTAATATATTTACTATAATTTTTTCTTATGAAATGATAAAGCAACCCTTTTCTCTATGTATGAGGTCAATTTTTTTTTATTGGAGTTAAAATTAACGTAGATATATGACCGAACCTAACCAACCCTACCTAACCTAACCTAACCTATATTTATAGGTAAGGTTAGGTTAGGTAGCCAAAAAAAGCTAGGTTAGGTTAGGTTAGGTAGGTTAGGTAGACGAAAAAACATTAATTCATGAAAACTTGGCTTATTAGGCAAATCGGGCCTTGAATAGTAGGCTGAGAAGTGCGTTCTGGCTATTAGGTACGACATATATATATATATATATATATATATATATATATATATATATATATATATATATATATATATATATATATATATATATATATATATATATATGTCGTACCTAGTAGCCAGAACGCACTTCTCAGCCTACTATGCAAGGCCCGATTTGCCTAATAAGCCAAGTTTTCATGAATTAATTGTTTTTCGACTACCTAACCTACCTAACCTAACCTAACCTAACTTTTTCGGCTACCTAACCTAACCTAACCTATAAAGATAGGTTAGGTTAGGTTAGGTAGGGTTGGTTAGGTTCGGTCATATATCTACGTTATTTTTAACTCCAATAAAAGAAA